TGATCCTGCCCTCTCCCTCCCCCTCCCTCTCCCTGCAGGCAAGGCGGCTCTGCTTGGTTCTTTCGTGTGAAGCGTGCAGCTTTGCCTCTTGGCAGGGAGGGGGGTTCAGACACACACGCACACACACACCCGCCCACGTAAAGCCATAAAGCAGGAGACGGGAGCCTCAGCCCAGGATGATGCTCAAGCGAAGGGCGGGCGGGGGCTTCTCTGCACGTCTGCTGCACCTGATCAGCAGAAGACTCCTCGGTGCTCTCTCTCTCTCTCTCCCAAAATCCCCTTAAGGGCACTGTCGGGCTTAGAAGTGTGTGGAGGCTTTGGCCCTCTTTCTCATGGAGGGGGCTTCCTAAGGGGGAGCACTGCCTCTTCCCAAAGTGGCCAGCTGGCAACCCTCTCTCCTCAGTCTGCTTGCCATCCAAGCCCTGGCATTTAGGCTCCTATAAACTGAGCTCAGCCAGGATTTCAGGAAAGGGAAGAGAAATCTGTAACTCCCCCCTCCCAAAATTTATGCAGTACCTGCATCAATTTCTCTTGGAGGCCGAGTTCCCAAGATATCACATGTAGGCTAACTATGAAATATAAATGTGCTTTCATGCTCATTCTGTTTGAGTAACGTAAATAGTTTTAATTGCTGGTTTAATCATTTAATAGCCTCCCTCCTGCCCTCCTCCTTCTTCCGGCAGCTTGAAAGCCCTCCTGGTGGGGAATCCTCAGGACCACACCGTGGATCTCTCGGGCATCCCGCTGACCTCCAAGGACTTGGACCGGGTCATCTCCTACCTCCAGCACAGCGCGGCCTCCATCGAGAGCGTGGAGCTGTGCTTCACGGAGCTGACGGACGAGCTGTTCCTGCAGCTCCTCCCGGTGCTCAGCGCCCTGCCCTGCCTCAGCACCCTCTCCCTCAACGGGAACCGGCTGACCAAGGCCATCCTGCGGGACTTGACCGAAGCGCTGAAGGACCCCCGGAACTTCCCCAGCATGACCTGGATCGACCTGGGCAACAACGTGGACATCTTTTCCTTGCCGCAGCCCTTCCTGGTCAGCTTGAAGAAACGGTGCCCCGCGCAGGGCAACCTCCCCACCATTCTGGAGTTTGGGGAAGGCCAGGCCAGCGACTTGGAAGGCCCAGGGGATCTGCCGGCGGAAGGGGAGGAAGAGAGGAGCGACGGCGGCCCGGACGATGACGCCAGCCCCCACCACGTGCGGGCAGGCGAAGCCGTGGAGGTGAGCCTGGTGCCCAGCGGGGCCCCGGTGGGGAAGGAGACGGAGGCTCGTCACGGGCTGCCTCAGACGTGAAGGGTGGCTGTCCTCCCCCTTGCCCAAGGTGGCCCACCGGGTCCCTCAACAGCAGCGGGGGAGCGTGGCCCAGCAGGGTGAGGAGCCACAGACCCGTCGGTGGGATTTCTTGTAGGACCCAAACATTGGAGGGGGGAACGAGGTGGCAGACCACAGCGCAGGGCGATGCTAAGGGAGGGACTTGGCCACAGGAATGAAGCGAGAGCAGATCTGTGGGAGGCATTGAGCCCTTGGGGGTCTGGAGAGGGCACATCCCACGCTGGAGGTCACCGATGCTCCCAAGCGATTTGCCACGCAACAGGAGAGGGGGGGAACGACAACACTGTGGGGGGCCCGAGCGCTTTGTCTTCTGGAGGGACTCCCCATGATCTCCAGCCCTTCACCCGGGGGTACGTATTTGCCGTGCAGCTTTCTTTCCCCTCTCGTTGCAGAGGGAAGACAGGGAAGTTTGGTTTCCGCCTCGAGGAACAGGGGTTTTGAGTGGACTTTTCAGGATAGGATCTCCACTTTTGGGAAAATGCAAGAGGAGGTGGAGGGAAGGCACTACAGGCAGAGGGCCTCCGATGAAATGCAGAGAAACACACAGTCTGCACTGGCCTCGGCATTCTGGGAGGTGGGCATGGTGAGCTTTTTTCCATGGTTTTGGCCTTTCTTTCGCTATGACAAGCAATGGAAGAGAGGACACAGCTTGGCACGGAGCCTCCTCCTTTTCTCTGTGACTGGTTTGGGTTCTTGCTTCTTTTCCCCATGAGGAGGAGGAAGGAGTCCCAGCCAATGGGGGGACAAGTCTCTCCGTTCTCCCGGCGGCCTGTGGAGGCAGAGAGCGGTGATTCCTCCCTCCATCCTTTCTAAGTCATCCCCCTTGAGGTACCCAGGTACCGCCAGGGCTGTGTTCTAGGCTTTTCCTTGCTGGCCCCCCTCCCAAACCCCAAACTTTGAGGGCGCTACGGACAAAAGCAATCCCAAGGGCCTTTCCATATGAACCGGAGGCTGCCATGAGGAGGCGTTTTCCTTCCCTGAAAGAAAAGGGCCAGATCGCTTTCAAGCCGCCGAAGAACTCGGCCGTTCAGGAATTCTACCCGCTGGTGTCTCGTTTCTGTGCCCGTCTGCAACCCATGCTTTGAAACATCCCGTCCAGAGTGACCCTCCAACCCTGCCATGCTTAAGGCTCCGTGACGTCCAGTTTCCTCCTGGTTAGCATGTAACAAAACCTGTGTCTCTGTGTTTTCCGTCCCTCCTTGGCCACAACAATTAAAAACCCTGGTTTGAAGTACGTAGAAGGGTTTCTCCCAACGGATCATCGCAGTGGGGTGAAACAAGAGGAAGGCTTCTCGCTCTCCTGGAGCACAGAACTTGCCCGCCGAGCCGTGAGGGAATGGAATGCCATGCTGATAGAGAGATGAGCAAGGGGTCCGCATCAGCTGCCAGGCGGGCACATCTGCGTGGTCAGAGGACGCATGAACCTGCAGCACCTGGGACAGAGTGCGAGTGCTGCCTTCCCTGTTCGCCATGTAGTTGGAGGAGGGGGACGTAGAGGCATTCAGGTTGCTAGGTTGGTGTTTTGTAGCCTCCCCTCCTCCTCCCCTCCCTCCCTTGAGCCCCACAGGCTTTGGGAGAAAGTTCCCGTGTGTCTCTGGGCTCATTTCTGAAACTATAGATGCCAGCAAGCTCACGTGTTGAAAAATGCCAGGCAAGAATAAAAAGAAATTTTATTTTATTTTTTAAAAAAGGGGGACAAAAACCTTTTGGCACCTTAAAGACTAAATGCTATGTTTTAATATCAGTTCACGTTTTAATATCAGTTCACTTCCCCCCACCCCCACCCTGAACTGGCCGTGCATGCTGGCACAGATTAACTATCAGTCCACTTCCCCCCACCCCCACCCCGAACTGGCCGTGCATGCTGGCACAGATTAACCCAGCTACCTCTTTCTGCTTAAAAACAAAAACAAAAACGAGGAACCCCTTCTGCTGGATCCTGTTCAAACCACTAAACTCGAGATAATGTAGAAAGAAACAGCCGCTGCAGGGATACCAATGCGATTGGAACCAGCACAGCACTGACGTCTGAGGCGAGGATGGCGTGTGTGTGTGTGTGTTCTGCTCAGAGACGGGGCCAGCAAGACCATCAGCGTCTTTGAACGGCAGAGCTGGAAGGGACCCTATAAGATCATGGAGTCCAGCCCCTGTCAAGGAGGCCCTGTGAGCTCTTCAGTGGCCTCCATCGCCAGGGGTCAGGCCAGGCTAAACTCAGGGGCTGAGGAGGGTCCACCGCTGAAGCACTGACACCTCCTCCTCCTCTCTTCCACCAGTCTGGCCTTCCCAGGGGAGAAGCAGCAGCTCCGTCGCTTTGGCAGTCCCGTAAGAAAAGCATCCACAAAGGAGTGAGCTCACTTTTGGCCACGGGCCACCCCTCTTTTGGGGCAAATCAGGGCCATTGCCAGTTTTCGGTCCTAGCCGGCCTTTTGTCAAGCACAGAGAAGCCTTTGCCTGCTTCGCTTGGCACCGTTCCTATTCTTCCTCCTAGGACACTGACTTTTTTTTTTAAAAAGGCTCTCTGTTCATGGGCAGGAGCTCAGAAAAAGAGGGGACAGAAGGGGACTTTCCGGGAGCTTAGATCCTTCCAGGTTGGGTTCCCCCGTCCCTTCTTACTCCAGCATTCAGCACTAGAGGCTCTCTCGCCACCCGCCTGAAGATGCTGTTGGAGAAACTGGCCGTCCTGCAACATCTATGCGAGGAGTTCGCCTCGGAGGGCCTGCAGTGCCAAATGGGGCAAAAACAAAACAAAACACAGAAGACAGTGGCTAGTAAAGAAGAAGGAAAAAGTGTGTGTGTGTGGGGGGGGATGAACCAATAACCTGTACAAAGAAGCAAGAACCAAAGACCAATTCACTGCCAGTTTATATATTTATTTAAAATAAAACCAGTTAAGCCCATAAAGCTTTTTTTGGGGTGGGGCGGGGTGGGGGAGAATAAATCCTGCCCCCTTGGAGAAACAGGCATCCTCTGGTGGCCTCTCCCTCCTGCGAAACCAGCTTGGCATCCGAGGGCCTTGCCCTGTGACGCTCTAGCCTGCGGGAGTCAGAGGGCCGGTCCTCGGCCCTGCCTCTTCCTAGAGTGCTGTGCTCCTTTGGGTGGCTTTTCCCGGGCGGTTGCCAGGGCGATGTGTTTAGCATCCCAGGAAGTGTTGGGCAGGCCCTCTGAGACGAAAGGCTAGAGGGGACACCTCCGTGAGAGAGGCTCTCCTTCCCCTTCCTCCTCTGCCCCCATCTAGCCTTTTGCCAGCAAGGGGCAAAATGAAAATTCTAAAAGGCAAGGGTAGGCATTTTGAAAGCCTCTGTGCATGCACAGAGTGCCGGTGGTTCAACTCACCATTACAGTGGCCGGTAACATTGGCCTTGGGTGTTAAGATCATCCTTTCTCTTGGCCCCATCATCTTCACAGGCGCATCTGATGGGGACACAGGGCAGGGCCTCCTCTGTGGCTGCTCCTTTAGACTCTGGAACTCCCTGCCACTGGAAGCTTGACCGGCCCGTCTTTGCTCTCCTTCTGCAATCAGCCAAGGCTTTCCCTGAATGACAGGCAACCTGAATGGGTTTTTTTAAATGAATTAATCGTTTTACCTTACTGCTTTGAATGTATTTTTAGTGCTCCTTGTATTTTCTGTGTCTCAGAGTGGTATTTACCGGTTCCTTTTTAATACTTGTTTTTCGCTTTAATATTGTCTTTTACTGCAGTTCTTCGCTTTAAATGTTGTCTTTTCACATTTTAAATGTTGTCTTTTCATGATGTAAACCACTGTTAGATACTCACTGTTTTCAGCTTTAAATATTGTCTTTCAAGGATGTTAAGGTGCGGTGGGTCCTTTTTTAAGGAGAAAGGTGGGGTAAAAAAAAGAAGTAAGTAAGTAAATAAATGTAGAGACGCCTTTCCCGCTTGCCCCTCTATGCCCACCCAACTCAGGGTGGAGTCCCTAACCGGACCTTCATGAGGACTTCCCTCCTTCCCTCCACCCCCAATAGAAAGTGTGGGGCAGGCCTCTACTTCAAGTTCCTTTTATTTTAATTGTGTAATATCGTCATCCCGCTTGGGCAGGAGAGCGAGAGGGAAAATATAGTTCCAGTGCAGCCCAAGGAAGCGTCTGGGGACCCCGTCGCCCTCCGCCATGGTCCTTGCAGGCAGAGAAGGCATTTCGGTTTTTTTCTCTTCAAGCGGCAGGTAAACACCTTTGCTCCTTTACTTGATTTATCCAAATAGTTTAAGCAGCAGTGCTTCTAAGTGGGGTGTAAAGAACATGCTGGCAGGGATTCTGGCAGTTGTAAAGACGCGATGTTTCAGAACTCAGATCATTATTTTTTCTGTATTTTAAATTATTATTTTCCCCTTCTTATTTTGCTCATCCAGCATGGAGAAGGGGGAAGGAGCAGTATTTCAGTTTCAAGCTTCAAGGCGACAAATGGTATTGAATCAACCTTTTGGTTGTTGCTTCTTTATACTGCTTTTTTATTGGTCCCCTCTTCTTCTTTTTTTTAGTCAGCCACTTTTTTTAGTCAGCCAAATTGTAATGGCGATTTTAAACTGTTGCAATTTCCCTCTTAACTAGGCCTTAGTATTTTAAAGGAGAGCATTTACGCAGATGTAATACACCCTGCTTGGTAGTTGGAGCCTTTGTGGTGACCAGACTCCCCTCCCTTTAGTAGAGAAGAAATGGAAACAAACCCCAAACCCCTCTGCATTTTTTTTATTTTGAGGATTTTATCTTTTGGAATTGTAAGTGCTTTGGGGCAGAGACCTCCTTATCTTTTAATTCAAGTGTGAAGCAAGCTCTGTCTCGAACCTTGTAAAAGTTTCCGGGGAAACAGCACAAGTGTCACCCTTTACAAAGAGAAAAGTAGGGGGGGGAGTGCATTATTCTTCTACCGATACCTAGTTAAAATGGGAGATTAGAACCATTTAAAATCACAATTGTAAGTGGCAGGTAAAGCAAAAAAAAAAGGGGGGGTCGTAGAACTAATAAATACTTGTGTAAATAAGTAGCAACCAAAGACAAATTCAATAGGAGGTATCCAGAAAGCTTGAAAATAATAAGAAGAATAAATGCATGGTAGGTCCTCCTTCCTGGCCCCTTTATCGCTGCCTCCAGCCTGCCCTTTGGTGTGTGTGTGGAGGCAGCCCTTGAGCTTCCTTTTCCTGCAGGGTGACCACAGTGGTGCATTTATCATCCAGGAAGCGGTGGGGAGGCCCTCCAAGAGGGAGGGTGGGGGAGACTTACCTCCTCTGGGAGAGTCTGTCCTGCTATTTGTCCTTCCCGGTGTTTCTGGAGGGTGCATCCTAAGTCATCTTTCACTGCAAAGAGAACATCTCCCAGAAGCTAGGCCACCTGACCTGGCAGGATATCTCTTCCCCCCCCCGGGTGGTGGTGGTCTATCATGGGCCCCTCTACCCCATTTGGCCCTTTTGCCAGTGCTACCAGTTGGATCAGAGTGGAACAAAAGGATCCTTGGGCTTTTTAGAACTGCCGAGCACTTTCTATTGGGAGTGGATGGAAGGAGGGAAGTCCTCATGAAGGTCCAGTTAGGGACTCCACCACGAGTTGGGAGCAGACGGGGGGGGGGG